ATTTGGAGTACAGTCTTTCATTCGAGGTGAGTATTTGTTTATTTTATTTTGCTCTCCATGAAGCTCAGAACGTCATTCTTATCCTTGTATCAGGAAATAACGTATCTTTTAGCATTAGTTTCCATTCTGAACTCAGTTCCTAAGGACTAACTATATTATTTTAAGGACTCCAGTCCATGCTGGTAGTAAGGGTACTTATCACCTTCGTGGTTTGTGTGACCCCAGGGATATGACCTTCACTGAGATGCTGGACTATTCATCAGCTGTTGCTTTGATTGGTTACTCTTTGATGCTAGCTATCATTCGAACTTTAAACCTGCGAGCTGAAGCGCCTCGAGTGATGGTGGCAGCCCCTATAATTGCCTTTATCACCACTCATATTTTATACCTCAATCTTTATAAATTCGACTATGGTACGATCCTTTTTGGAACAGTTGATTTCTCTTCAACGTGAAATTTCCTGCTGAGAATTTGGCGTCATTGTTTCGCATCACGTTGATAATGTCTGTGACGTGATAATGTCTCTATTTACGACTTTGTTTCTGATCATTCGTGTGAATTTACTCGTCAAACGACAGGGTTGAATATGATCGTCTGCGTGGTGATAGGCGTTGCCCAACTTTTGATATGGTCAACGTGGGGGTTTATCTCGAGACACCCAGCTCGTTTCAAACTCTGGGGTGTAGTATTTGGAGCTGCTTTTGCTATGCTCTTGGAAATCTTCGACTTCCCACCTCTGTGGGGTATTTTCGACGCCCACGCCATGTGGCATGCTGCTACTCTTCCCATCACGTACTTGTGGTGGAGCTTCATCAAGGACGATGCTATATTCAGAACTGAAATGCTGGTTAAGAAGAGCCAATCAGCTTCAGACCCTTTTGCAGAATCTGAGTCAAGGAAAACGCAGTAAGCTTTGTGGAAACGGCAGCAACCTTCAAAGTAGCTGGAACAGCACACTTTCGATAAGCAGTTTGGAGTTCTTATGTTGAGTGACGAAATAATTATACCCTGGATTGACTTGCAGTAAAGATGCGGGCAGGCGTGGCATGATTGTGGTAATGCTATGGAACGAAGGGATCTTGTCGTCGGCACTCTGCAGATCGCCTCATAATCTACGCAATACGTCATCATCTGCTGTTGTAGATACTAGGCCAGCTTCCAGATTGTTTTTTTTAGCACTGTCTAGTTGCATTGATTTATTGATTTTCCACTCCGTTCTGCCGGATTTGGGGTAACAGTGCAACATTCAAGTTGGTAGAATTTTTCAGTTCAGAGTGCGTCTGATCACCTGTGATGGTTGTGGTGATTTCGTAGTCTTTTTCCTCACGCCTTCTGTTTTTCCTCTTTTTCTCTTTCCCTCTTCCTCCGAGTGGGTCGATCAGTAGTGGGACTAATGTCCTCAATATTTTGATAAGAACTCCCATTTCGTGTAAAATCAATTCAATTATTGTTGTGATTGTGGATCAATATTACCCTTTGTCGTGACATGATTCATTGTGACTAACCTTTTCCGTTAATGGCCGTCACAACCTCTTGCATTTCCTCCTCCAGCTAGTTCAATCAACCTTGCGATTAGTTTTTGTAAACACCTTTCTACCATTCTAGTGATTCTGCAGTTTCTGCCAAATGCCCAGCTGCGTCATTTCCTTCAATTGAGGTTATTTATAGTACTTGCATAGTTAGGTTCATGGAATTTGTCAGTTGCAATATTCGGATGATTACAGATTGTAAAGAAGTTTTTATTTTTTTCCATTCTGTTTGTTTTGTTGTTGGAGAATTTGGGAATATAGGAGGAATCTCTACATGATAATAATTTGAGACCGTGTGTAATAGGAATTAAGAAAATATATCGTTCACACGTCTTCTGAAGTGATTCTAAGACTTGGATAGTAGTGTGGAACAAAGTAACCTTATTCAAGGGTTTGTATGTGTTTTGTATTTTCTACTATTAAAATATTTATTGTAAGGAAGTTGTGTATGGTATAATAAGAGAAGATGATTTAGGCACTTCATTACAAGTATTATCAATATAAGTGAAGAATTTAATTTGATATTAGATAATTATTTTTCATCATTTATATAATATTTGCTTGTTTGTTTGTTTTTTATTTTTTTATTTTAATATTACTATGTTAATATATTAAGTTATTATGATATAATCAATATATGAATTTAATGTATGTATTTTAATAAGTGTTTTCAATCTTATTTTTGTTTAAAATTCTTATTTTTGCTAAATGTTGATACATCATTATTTTTTCTACATTATAATATATGTGATATAACAAATGTATTAAAACTCAGTACATAATTGTTCTAAAATATTCCCTTTTAAGAAAATGAAGCGGTTTGCAATAATTCTTGGTCTAATTTACATCTTTTGAAAATAAAAGTTGAAGTTTTTTTTTTTGTTGTATATATTGTTCATGAAATAAATAATTTTCATACTAATATTACTTCTGATACAATTGAAAAAAATTACAACTAACAATAATATAGAATATTAAGATTATAATATAGAAATACAATACATCTTCTTGAATTGCTTGAAAATTAACAAAAATTTAGTAGCAAAATTAAAAGTCAAATGGGAATTGCAATAATAGTTCTATTTTTGTATTTTTTATTATTAGAATTTATCTTCAAAATTCAATTGAAGAACTATTTTATTCTTATATTTATTTTTTGCAAGAATTATAAATTATGTTAGAATATCTTTGTTTAAAGAACATTTAAAAAAATACTTCTTGATTTTTAAATAAAATCAATAATTTGATATATTTATAAGATAGCCTTAAATTTTATAGAAGGTATAAATTTTAAATTAAATTTAATCATATAATTAACAAATGTGTAGATATTAGATTTGAAATGAAGTATAATTTGAAAATAAACTTATTTGTATAATAGCAACAATGTTTTAAAAAAAAAGTCAAATCTTCAAAAAAATGGTTTTAAATGACCAATATTATTAAAAAAAATTCTAACAAGACATAATATATGCACTTTATGGAATTTTAGTGAATGAAAAGTGGATTATTTAGTTATTTTTGTAAGTATACATAGTTTATATTCAAAAATCTTTTGGATGTACTATCACAAATATACATAGGTATTCTTGGAAATATGTATATGATTAGATAGAAGTACATAAAAATAAATAAAAGTAGATTAATTTCATAAAATCTCTTAGAAAAGCTTCATAGAAGCTTCATAGACGTTGCTTTGACTTCACATGTATTTGTAATTGATTGGTAGGTTAAAAACTTGGTCAACAAGTTAATCACGTATTGATAGCTTGCAGAACAAGCTAACTATGTGGTGCATATATAGAAAACTTGCCTTATAAGTTAAGATACATATTTTGCAAAGTCAACATATTTTGGAGGTCCTATAGGACATCACTACGTAGTTTCTAGTTAAGAGTATATATGAAGGCAAGAGTGAAGCCTTCTTCAATCTTGTCAATGCTTTTTTAGTCTTTAATCTTGTTTCAAAACTTTCTAGTCTTCTTGTTTTTAGCAATAGCGATTTTAGTTAAATACTATATCATCATTGAGTGACTTTCTAGTTCCTTTGAGTGACACAAGAGTGTATTGAAGATTTTCTTTTTTCAAGTTTCATGTCCTTGACATGTATTTACTATAGTACAAAACAATCAAACAACATATGCTTAAAATTTCCATTGTATTAATAGTAGTAGATTCACATATGTCATAGTTGCAATATTTTTTTTATAATGTAGATAATAATAAAATAATTTATTATTGCTTTGCACCATATATCAGTAAAATTTATAATAACTTTTATCAATACTAACAAAATTTAGGTATCAAAATATCTATTATATAAAATGATGAAAATGTTGATACATGGCTTTCTTTCCTAATAATTACTTGCTTCAGTCTATATTTATATCTATGAATGTCTATGGAAATAAGATTTTATTACAAATTGAATGGATACTTGTATCTACAAATACATGTTAGGACTTAAATGACCAATGGTCTAGTAGCTATGTTGAACTTAGACTTGACATATATACATCAAATCCTATTCATACATATTTCTTATTTATTTTGTCTCTTTATATCTATTCTATTGTTGTATTTTTTTTAGTGTGTATATTCTTTTATAAATGTCTTTTGCCAAGATTGAAATATGTGAGGCCATCACTCATCTAGTAGTTATAGTCTTTTCTTCACAAATGTTGTGTTGTGAATGCATACACATTCAAAGCTATTTGGCCTTCAAATATTCTTGTCTACAAGTAATTTAGGAACATCTTAGAATTCAAATGTCATATTAAATATATAATTTGTGACTTTTGTAATTTGCTCATTTCTTCATTATAGCATCTATATTGTTACTTTTGTCATTGGTGGTTTTGTTTCCAAGTCCTATGGTGTAGATATATTTATAAACTCTTCTATCTCAAATATTAGGATTTATTGATGAAAGCTCTTATTTAGATACTTGATCGTCTAATAATGTGGTTGATGGTGACCCCATCTACACAAAGATTAAGCAATTCTTGATATTATTGTAAGTATTATAGTTAAGGATTGTATGCCAATGTTGCGTATGCTAGATACAGAGGTGGATATTGTTTATTGGAACTATTATTTATTATACCTACTATTTTTGTTTCTTCTAACATTGAACTTATTTAGTTTTTGATTTTATGTATAATGTCTACAAAAAGCTATACAATAGCACCTTCCACATTCATATTGATATCTAAGTCAATTTCTTTAAAATTATACAAATCATGGTCTTGTTTGGGAGATTGTTGAAGTGGGATTTTAAAGAGGTTAGGTGGAGCATATGTAGCTAGGTAGAAAGATAGAAAAGCCATTATTAGTCTTATTTTATTTATTTATTTATTTATTTTGGTTCTCTCTTATTTGTAGTTACAAATATTCTATATGCTATCTAAATTGTAGAGAAGGTTTGTTAAAGTCTTCTTAATTATTTGTTGGATTTTTTGTATTGGTATATGTCTTGTCATGCTCCTACGCCAATTTATATAGTTATTTTTGAAGAGTTGTATAATACTTTGTTTAGGTTGAACATGATATTATTTAGTTCTAGATTGTGTTTTTCATCCATAGGTTCCATACTAATGTATCTTTGATTATCTTCCAAATTGTGTTGGTACTAATTGTTTTGTTGCCAATTTATTGGAAAGTTCTTTAGATTGTATCTTGTTAGTATATTTGATGTATTTTCATAATGATAATATTCTATGTACAATATATGAAATAAAAGTTGACAAATAATTGTAGTTGGTTGAGCCTTGTTTAAGCTTTGGAGACCACCAAACACTTAAATATTACATCCTTGGAGGTTTCAATCTCTAAGCTATTATATAGCTAATAGTTATTTTTCTAGCTTTCCTTATGATGCCATCTATCAACTGGTAGGCTTTCAATCCTTATCACCTTATGCATTGTTGCTATTTTTTTTTAACAACTATAGATGCCAAAGTTGTTGGATAAACAATTTGCATTGCTTAAGGTTGAAATCCACGCTTGCCATTTTTTTAATTCCTTGCATGAGTATTGATTGGAAGTCGAGCCCTATCTTGTAGCCTAATTTATAAGCAAGGCCAAAGAGTTTTTTTTTTATTTTCCATGCCTCTCTTCTTCTACTTTAAAATTTAATGTCCAAAATTGTACCATAAGTCAATGGCAATGACATCTCTAAAGTAATAGTTACAGATTTCAAGAACCACATATATTTGATATTACACAACCTTGTAATTGATTGAATCCAAATCATGATTATTATAATAAAATGACATATGCTTAAAAATAAACTAAACCATCAATTACTTATAAATCAATTAGTCACTAAAGTTTTGATTTCAAAAATTATATTTAACAAAAAACTATATTATAAGAATTTACATAAGTACAAAATTTATACAAATAAACTACAACTTTTTAAGATTTTAGCCAAAAAATATAATTGAATAATTTACTTCTATTTCCTAAAATTCTTTCATTTTATTCATTGTCAAAGTATATAAGCTAGTTGTAGTTGGCCAAAGATTAAGAAATGGTGGAATGAATGCTAATAAGGGAAGAAGGTCTCTCAAAAGAGGTAGTGCACTAGTAGAAGAAGCCACACTAAAATTCTATTTAGTATCTATTTTCTAGTAGGAATTTGGATCTAACTTCAATTATATGATATGTGTATTAAATAAGATCTTTTGGTGGTGAAGTACTTCATTCATCTAATTTTGATAGAAGCCAGTGAATAGAGTGCTAAGAAATGATGTGAATAAGTAGTAAATATTTTTGAAGTAATATTTGGAATTGAAGGTAGCACAATTTGTCTTCTATTTCTTAATCTTGCCTCTCTACTAATCAAAATTTATTGATTGTGAAAATACATCTATTAGCCTATGTAAAAAATGTATAATTATTTTTTGCTTCTATTGGATCTCCATTTTCTTTAATAA